GCTAGACTCTGCGCACTTTCTGAAATCCTGTATGGTAAGGGTTACGCGTTATTAGCCTCGTTCCCTTTCTCTGAGTTGGTTTAGACCCCGGTACCTTGGGCTCCACTCAAACAGTGTGTCTCTGTTGACACACTTTTGAAGCATCGCTCCCCTCACCATTGAGGGTTATTGTGAGCATGGTGCTTTCTTTGAGCGTTCGAATTCTCTCCCTTGCTGAGGAGTTGGATTCCTCGGTCCGTGGGCTGTTCTTGTGGTAGTGTTTAGCAGTGCTCACCTTTATCAAAGGGTTGCCTATGAGCACGCTACTCCTTTTCTGAATTTGGAGTTCTCCTCTCACCTGAGAATTGAGTTCTCTGTTTTCCCAGAGCACCTGGAACCAGCAACATCAGGTAAACAGGCCCTTCCTCCGCCTCTCTGATGCGCTGAGTTTTTTCGCCAGCCAACGTGTTGTTGGTGTTTTTTGAATGTATGCTTCAGACACGGGTCACAACGAGGCGTTCCCCATAGTGACCCATAGAGGACGCAGTGTCTCGTTCCCTACTCAGGGAACCATGGTTACATACGTAACCTGAGACGTTTTTGTTTGACTTCTTTGGACTCTCACTTGAACATGATATTGGTGTCTTTATTAAAATCTTCTGTAAATGCTCTGTGCATACAATCTTTTCAGATAGAATTTGAAATAAATGTGACTATTAAAATGTAATAAAACAACCTTTATTTGTAAAAAAAACAAAAAAAACATACTATATTCCATATAGGTCCATATAGGTACGTATCAAGCAAGAAATATATACTAAACTTCATAAATATTTTAACTTTTTAGTTTTTCACAAGTTTTTTTCTTCTTCAGTTTTTTAAAACTGATGTTGTTGATTTATGGAAAACATTTTAAATATGAGGAAAAAAACAGACTTCTAAAAACTCCAACTGTAAAAACATTTCAAATCTATGTAATTGCCCTATTTTTATTTAGCTGTATGCTGCTTTACAGTATAATTTATTTTGCTCTCTTTATGTCTTTACATATTTATAATAATGCAAATACATTTGGTTGGGGAAACCCCCCCCCACAAAAAAATGCTGCACAGCCAGAAACAGAGTTTCAATATGTTTTTTTTTTTTATTATATAATTCTAAACTATATTTTAAACTTGACAAACTAAATTTATATATTTACAGTGGCCCTACATTTTGCAAAAAAAGTAAGTCTATTTCAGTTGCCAAAGAACATAAACAAAAAACAGTGAAGGGTTTTTGTGAGTATTCAATCCTTCTAAGGGTCTCTGATTTGCTGAAAGGCGGATGTTTGGTTTGTGAGTGCCATTAGTGGGACTACCATTTAGCCCACAGTCATAACGACTGGTTAACAGAGGCTTCTGTTTGTTCTCAGTCGCTAGTTATGTCTGGCCGGCTACATTTTTTATTTTCTGCCTTTACTTTACTAAATTATCAAATTTGTATTTAAGAGGTTCATCTCCCCAGACATGCATTTTTCTTTTCTAATAATGGTTGATACACCCTTGTAAATTGTATAATATGTGCCTGCCAGTCCAACTGTGTCTAGTTATAGAATATATTTGACTGATAAAGATAAAAATCTTGCACAGACAGTAGACCATCATGGGTTTGATTACCAGAGAATGTAAAGTAAATTATTTGAGTATAAATGACTACCAAATGCATAAATGTTAATTTAAGGAGAGAGTTCCTCACCACAGTCTGAAAGCAGGAGTGGAGCTGGGTGAGGAATGGAGGTTTGTCCTGCTGAGCCAGAACCCGCTTCTCCACCATGGTGCATTCAACATCATCATCCTGGATGACCACATCCTTCTTCAGGATCTTTATAGCATATAGTTCATCAGAAGACTTCATCTCAGCCAGCATCACCTGAGTATGGAGAATAGCAAAAGCTCAAACTGCCAGTGAGGGCCATTAGCAAACCTAAAATATAATTCTAAATTTCACTGAGAAAAAAAAAACATTATTTCCTCTTACATAAGCTGTTATGAAAACACATCTTTATTTTTAATTTTATTTTTTTATTCTACTAGGTTGGCCCCATTTTTAAGAAAAACCAAGCCAAGAAAGGAAGCACCCAAAATCACAGTATAAAATTTCTACAGTATATATTTTAAAGGGGTCATATGATGCGATTTCAAGTATTCCTTTCTCTTTGGAATGTCACAAGCTGTTTGTGAATAGATAAGATCCCTAAAGTTGCAAAGACTAAAGTCTCAAACCAAAAAACATTTTCTTTATAAAAGTTAAGACTGGTCCACGCCCTCCTAAAATGCCTCGTTTAAACACGCCCCCACATGTCTATGTCACGATGTGGGAAGATTTGCATAACGCCGCCCAAATGTTCACGCAAA